TGCGTGTAAATCGTTCTGTAAATAAGGAAGTTGCGTTTTGTACGTTATACGAGACCGTGCTGCCATCGTCCCGTCCCGGCGGAAATCGTAATCGCCGGTGGCCGGGCGTCCAAAAGCGTTTCGATTCGCGAAGACGCTAATAACGGTCGGGCGGCGCGCGACGCTCACGCGCAACGTCTTCGGCGATCGAGAAATTATTTTTCGTAATATAATTCTCTAAAAAAAAAATTATTCCGACGCCGAGAAGCGAACGGCAAACTCGAACCGCAACTGACGTATGGGAGGTAAACTCGGATTCAGACGAGAGCACTTTTGACCCCCTAAAAGTGAATAGCGTTTTCCCGTAATTTCGGGACGGCGAGAGGACCGGACGGCCCTTCTAATTCGCCAATCTAAAAAAATTCCTGCGTTTCGTTCGCCCGCAAACCCACCGTAAAGTCCGCGAACGGGAAAATCTTTTCGCTGCCCTCCCCCGCGAACGGGGGGCCCGGGGACCGCCGTTCGGCACTCGAACGAAGGGCCGGTCCCTCCCGAGTCCCGAGCCGGAGCGGCGCGCGCGTCGCGCCGCGCCTTCCCCCCCTTCGCGAATTTAACGTGAACCCCTTGCGAAACGCGAAAATTTCGGGGGGGCGGAGGGGGGGGAAGGCCTAAAGTTCGAGGGGCGCCGCCGCCCGGGCCGCTACCGCGGCCCGGAGCCGCGGCCGCCACAAAATTTTTGGGAAATTTCATCAGGCCGTTTTGTAGAAATTCGACAAAATCGAGTTAACGGGTTGTTTTCTTATTTTATATAATGAATGATCCTATCACTTACTATCTTGCGGCTTTTAATTCTACGTCCTAACTTCTTGTTTAGCACAAACCCTACCCCTGTGTGACCGTTTTCTGTACCTGAGCGTACCACTCTGTACTCTCCTGACTAAAAGTCACCCTGTTCCTTCCACTTAATTTAACTTACACCTACAATATCTAAATTTAACCTTACCATGTCCATTTTTAAGTTTTCTAATCTATCTAGCCTCCTTCAACTCCTCATATTCCATACTCCTACTCGTTGAAGTTGTTTCTTAGGTGTTTGTTTGTCCCAGAATCTGGACCATTAGACCATTGGCCCTACCCACATGGGGTTCTCTTTTTTTAAAATATACCATTTCTTCCATTGTAAAGCTGTTGAAGCTGCGCTTCCTGGGGGAAAGATTCGGTGGTGGTTCCCGTGGCCTTCCACCTACCCTAGTCAGTATGTTTGTCTCGGTAACCACCCGTCCTCCCGCGATCCTTCCTTCCGATCCGAATTCTGGAGGCCGTTATGGACGCAAGTAACCTTTGTTCGTATTTCTCCACAGATGAGGCACATACGGTAGACTGGCTAAATATTATCTTGCCTAATGTAGTCTTTCGTGACACCCCGTAACCCAATTCCAGTTATTATTGTTAACTCTATTGAGGCATAGAGGAAATACTTCCTCTATGATTGAGGTAAGTTATGTTCGGGAACTGCTACTAAACTTCTGCCAATTAAGAAGTGCCCCGGTCTCAAAGGACTTCAAGTCGTTTGGATCTGAATAAGTCAGGACTTGAGCACGGTTTCAAGTGGGGTACTGTACAAAAGTTAGTGTACTGTTGCCTATAAGATTCTTTTTAAATGAACCTTCACTGCTTTCTTAATCTGGTGGTAGATTTGGTGGAATAAACTTCCATCGTAAGCTTTAATTTGCTTGCAAAAATGTTTGAAGAATTAGATTTAAAAAATTGAGATAGCTTGATTGGCACCAGCATTCGAGATGTCTTAAAGCCTTTGTGCATAACCAAAAAATGAAAGACCAAATAAACTTTGTATTCGCGTGCATGACGATCTCTGTTTTTAAATAGACCTGCATAGTCTACGCCACTATTATATATCATGGATTAATTTAGGTATTTGTGGTCTATATGCTATTATAGAATAGCGAGGTAGGAGATGTATATACAAGTTGGTAAATTGCTCATGTAAACATTCGAAATTTTGAGAATCGCAATTGACACTCTCGTGAGTAACTTTTTTTGTGAACTTTCGACGTAATGCTAATGGCCAATAACGCTTCCGTAATGAAATTGGCTGTGTTTGCGGCCCGCAACGTGTAATAATTAATGTAATAATTAGTTAATGATGTATTGTGGCAAAATTTTTGCGGAATACCTTAACTTTTACAGCGCTCCTCAAGGTAGTGCCAATCCACCTTGTGTGTAAATTCGTAGAAACTATAATAGTAGGCACTAATAGATGTAAGTGGTCAAATCATTGAGCACTAATGGATACAAAACCCCAAAGTTTGAACCGAATAAGTTCAAGCGTGTGTCAGAAACAGTGTGGCGTGACCATATACGGAGTCATTGGATTTGACCTATTTTCAATACGCTTCTTACATGTGGCATATAGTCCTACTATGCAAAGTTTGAACCGAATCATTTGGCAATTATCTAGTGCACGGACAGACAGACATACACTATCGATTTCCCTACAAAGCAAAAATCTTGGCCCGACTACCACAAATCCTGACATTTCCAATATTTTCAGTACACACTAATTCAGAAGAAAAAGTTTTGTTCTAAATACGTAAATAGTGTACCCTTCAAGTTTCATCATAACTTCTTTGTTGAACAGCCGTATACAAGAACTCTATTCTTAAATGAATTTACTAAACTGCTTTGTGGTCCCACCAAGAATTGCATGATTACCCACATCATTTTCATATTGAAAAATCCCCGGATACCAAAACCAATTTTTTTTGCACCCCTTGGGGCACGTACCATCTCGAGGTAGATACTCCTATTTGTTATTTCCTGAACCTTCGGTTTATATGCAGAAAATGCTTACGGTGGTCATACTTCATTGTAGTACTGCGTGTGATAATGTATTTCTAAAATACGAGGATAACGCCAAAAATTCTCGGCCTGGCATAGATCCAGATCGCAGCCAAGCAAAACCTTTACATAAAGTTTTATTAGGCTTGGAAAAACAAAACATGATTTGTGATGTCAATTAGTTTCCTTACAACTGTCACTCGTTGAACACCGTGTCAGAAATCCCAAAGGTCCAGTACCGAGCTGTGGCCAAATTCCCTACTCGAGAAGGTGTTTCTACCCAAGAATTGAATTGGATTGGATGAAGTGATTGAGAAAACATCGCCCTTGTTGAAAATCTCGTGTTTGGTGATCGATGTTCAGCAGAAAATCCCGACTTTCTGACAAACCCGTTCGGCGAATCATTTACCACCATTCGGAGATGAATAAACAGTACAGGGTAGGTCCCCAAACAACTCTAGGCAGTTCAACGACGGCGTCGGGTTGAATGTGGTCAATCCTTTGCAGCTCTATGGAGAACACCCTGTGGACGTGTTGAAGACGGGATGAACTGTACAGTACTGTACTATGATCCACTGACCACTGTCCAAAAGGGGGTCGATGGAATGGAGAAGAAAAGAACAAGTACCTCCGATAAGGTTTGAAGTTTGTCAGTCGACAAGAAAGGCGGTGGCATTCTTCCTATTGACTTTAAGGAACGTAACACCACAGTCTATTATGCAACACTCCTGCACTATAACTAACTCGTATACTGAAAAAGAAAATTTAATGTTTAATGCTAAATTTTATATTCCAAAATCCTCCAAAATATACCAAATTTCACCAGAATTGGAATTCTTTTTTGCATGGATACGTCAGCATGGAGTGAGAAATTGGGAAAATTGTTTTAGGTTTTAAGATTACTAACAAAAACTATAAGAATTTTGGGAATCCTCTAATAATTATCTGCGCCACCTTTAGTTGCGCGGGTCAATGTGTCAAACGCATAACGCTAGCTTTTTCGGTTCACTGTTGGGATAGGCCCAGCGATGAGGTGAGCCTGGTGCTTTTTTGTTGCTTTATAATGTTATTAAAAACTATGGAAACTAAGGAAGCTTAGGTGAACGAGGAGAATGAGATTAAGAAGAATAAAGGGGGCTAAGAAGACTAACTGTTTTTCTTCTAAAAGAACCTGACACTGTTTATTGAAATCATTTAATAATTTTATTGTACTGGTACTGATGGTATAAAAAATTAAATATTCTTTCCATTTGAGTGGTACATCTTAAGGACATTGCTGGAGTGCAGATGGAAATAACTTTTGATGACACCATTTATTTAGGGGAGACATGAAACCCCAACAAATCAAACATATTTACTTCAAAAAGCCATACGTTAAAGTATACAAAGAATCCCGGCTAATTTCTGATAGTGGCTATATTAGGATTTTCATAACTTCAGAGGAAATCTCCCGAAATCAAGAGGCCTCCGCGAAAATCGGAAGAACGCTGTTCACTAAATGACAGGAATTCCGAGGAAGTCAGAGGAAAAAGAAACCATGCTGCAAGTTTGTGCAATTTGCACGTTCGAAATTCAACTCAAGAATAAATTAACACGTTTCTTTTGTATTTATAGATACCGTGACCTGGAAAAAAACGTAAAATTAACATGCGGAAATGCCAAATGTACTTTTAAAACGGTACATCTCACCCTTACGTTCAAACCTTAAATGAGTTGCATCGTCGAAGAAAGTTTCCTTTGTACGTTTTTACTTTCTGTTTCCTATTGTTAAGAAAACGTATAATTATGATAACTACCCCAACTATCGATTAAGAAGTGACGCAATAAATCTGACGTTAAATTTCTGCAGTTACAACGTAGGGAACCATAAATGTCTTGACCTTTAAATGGGTGATTGTATCAAGATTAATGAGTGTTGGGCAGGAGTTGTTCCAATAGCTTTATAAAGGAGAGGATGGGTGCTGGGTAAAGAAAAATAATTAGGGTTGTAGAGTGACGTAACGGGTTGCGTGCTTAACAATACTTCAGGCGCCGCATTTTCCGATTTCCTTATCACCAAATGATCGTTCTTGCTGAACGCTAATGCCATGTTGTATTCAGCACGTGCATGACTTAACAAAGACGCAAGCGCTAGGAAAAAGAGAAAAATTCTGCGACAAAGTTTCATTCTCTTAAGGACTGTGATTGTAACACGATCTTTTATGGTCTAAACGAGAATGAACGCTTTTTATGTGATAGTGTCGATACCTATCCTTTTAGTGCTGGCTGGATTTAATCATGCCCATGGTTTTACTACGTTTGGAAAGACTCCAACGAATCCTTTAACGCAGGCACCACCACGTCAAGGTATATATACATACTTATACCATCCGGTGCTGTCTCCACTGTCAATAATCATTTCGATTTCGATTTGATATTTCCATTCAAGTAGTAACCGTTAAGGGAGATGGCACTGATTTACATCTTAACTTTTGTTATTTTGTTTGCCGTTGGTGGTGAGAAATTCTGTTTACCAAAACCACGCTAAGACATATAGTAACGGAATTGTTGTTTCAGTGCCTGCCAAGTCATGTGGAAACCACACGGAGTGCTGGTCCATACCGAAAACTAGCTGTGTTGCTGAGCCAAGGGATCATTCACGAAAAAGTTGCCTTTGTGGAGATAATAAACCACCCGCAAATGGACAATGCTTTGCACTACATAAAGGTAATAAAAAACTCAAAGTCAAGGGCAGAAAAAGCATTGAAAGTCCTGAATTTGAGCTTTAACCACTATACATCTTATCAAAAGTAGTATCTAAGTAAATTCAATCGATCTTGCACGAAAGTTTCCCCTTGAAGAATCTGTATTTTGTGCGTGTTAATGCTACAGTAATAAATCATATAAACGTATAGACGGGAACACCAATTAAAATACTGAAATATTTATTAGCAAATTTAATTCAATTCCTATTAACTTTTTTCGGCCATCAGGATTTTGCAAAAACACCCCCGCCGTACGCTTTTACAACGTATTTTTAGATTACACTCGCTTATCTCTTGCAGTACCTAGCTATATCTCAAGGTTGGTTTTCGAGTTTTTCTTTATTTAATGGGAATTTTACACGCTCTGCTTTTCCAGCTTAGTCATCATTTGCGTTCTTCATAATTCCTTTAAATCATAATTTTCTGGCAAACGTCGATGTGTCGACTTTTCTGATTATGGTCGTCGCTGCACTCCAAATGAACAAGATTTCATTTCAATTTCATAGTAATTACTCGAGTTGAATGCATTTTACTGGTTTCAACGTATTTTTGCATTAAGATTGCATCTATTAGCAGTAAGACCTCAAAGAATGTGACTTTTTAGCGAATAAAAAAGGAGATTCTCTAAATCTCTGTAAAACACCCAGGGAGTATTGTAGAGCGTTCGGATTTTCAGCATTGTATTGACCAAAACTTATTAATTTCGTTGGGAAAATGTTCAAACGCGTCATAGGCGAGAGCGAGAAGTGAATTTCACGCATCCAATGATCGAGTCATTTCTTCACTTACTTACTTAACTTCACCAACTTAAATGAAAAATTAACTAAAATTATATACTTTGCCCAATTGTACCTGAAGGGTTTCTAAAAGAAATGAAGGTTTATATCTGCCTTAACAGATTTTTATGGTTATGGGTTTATGAAAGCCATTATTATTCTTATTATTCGATGCAGTAACAATGCCGCAAATTATACTCCAAGACGCGCAGTTGAAGTTAATTAGGCTTGCATTACGGCATTAAGTTAAGTTTCACCTTTAATGTGAACGTGGTAGTGTGTAAGTCCCATAGCAAATAAAATATACACTTCAGATTTGACAGACCGTATAGGATCATGTTCTGGACCCATGGCATGTGCCCCCCCCCCCAAATGTAGATCATAATTCAAGAATTATATCTATTTGTTGAGTTATTGAGTAGCAACCGCAGGGATCAAATGTAAAAGTTCACTTAGGAATCCAAAATTTAGAATAGGGTGACCAAATCTACTGAGGTTATGTTAGATTATGTCCTCCCCCCCTTCACTTCTCGATTGGAATTACCTTTCTCTAATTAATTTTTTGAGCTGGAATTAGAAGCTATTTAACAGCGTTCACTTACAAGCAATTGCAATGTTTGAGCTTTTAAAAAGGCAAATAAATATTTATAATCATTGGGGGGGGGGGGGGGGGGGGGTCCATTTGACTTCAAACCAGCGTTTATGCATGATGAATTACGGGCTATTTAGGAGTTTCAATTATAGGTAATTGATTTAGTTTGACACTCCAAGTGTCTGGATCGATCAATAATTTATGTTTGCAATAATTAACCACCGAGGGCTCAATTCTCTCCTCTACGATTGGTATGCTGAGAGTCATAACGCTTTCCTTAGCGTAAAAAGCGCTGTGCTAATCTTTGTTTTTCTCCCCAAATGGCCAATTACTGATTTTTAGCTGTGCCGCCTACACTAATTGGATTAGGTAATTAAGTCGACCGCACGAATGGATGTACCTGGTTATCCATTCAATACACCTTATTATACCAAAAATTTTTTCCATTGTACCTTTGTCGTTTTCATGAAATCCGGTTTTAAAAAATCTTCACGAGAGCACTAGACAAATTTCCAAAGGATGAACCTATCTTCTTCAAAATTTAATGTACTATAACTTGTTTGCTTTGTACCTATGGCGTTTTGGGAAAATCTGGTTCCGAAAAATGACAGCCAAGTTGAAGAAAGCACCTGAAACATTTTGAATAAATGCGTCTAAACAATTAATGTACTTTCTCGTTTTCATTGTGCTTTCGGAAAATTCAGTTCTGAGTAGTCACCGTCAATTTTACACAGATCCCATGGACCGCAAATCTGGGTCTGAAAGATTTCGGCAAACCTTAGGAAAGAGCCGAAAAAAGTTTCAAATAAATCCGATTTCTGTATCTTCATAATTAAATGTACTTCACTTTACCATAATTGATGTGCAATTTACCATAGCCTGATGCCTACTGGAATTTTAGTATTTTCGGTTACTGCATTGATTTTAAATTAGCTATAGGTGCACCAATTTAATTGAGAAAATTCAAGAGGTAAATTTTCCATTTGATAGTTATTTCGTAAAGACCTGATCACATGGTTATTATCTAACTTTCAATTTTATAGGTTATTGCCGGAGTTGTTATACCCCTAAGCCATTTGCCTCTTTACGAACTAATACCATTGGAAAATAACAATTCTTCCTTCTTTGCAAAGCAGTTGTCAACAGCAGCTTTTAAGCAGTCAAAACGGCGCGGCGGCCCGAAGGTGTTTCTGTACCAATCGCAACAGGTAAAAGTGGGAATGGCTTTGCGAAGATTTTGTAAGGTGTTGCCATAGAGCTCTGCATTTATAGTAGGTAGTTCCGTTTTTCATTTCTTCGATTAGGGGAACATCTTCATATTCTAAAAAACGGTTGCCATCAGCTTTCCAGATGGTTGGGTGCGCGCCTTTTTCGGAGAAGGAAAACCTTTTGTTCATCCATTGTCTGGATTCTAACTTTGTTTCTGGGTGCACCCAAGTCTCATCATCAGTCACAATTTGTGCCAAAAAGTCGGCATCCTTTTCCAAAACTGCCAAATCGTATTGCGAAATTTTCAGTCGGGGAATCCACCACTCTGGTACCTCTTGCTCGTGTTCAAATGGTTGTGAATTCTGGTTAACACACTAGGTTCAGATATTCCCAATGTCATACCGATAATGCACACTTTGACACAACTACCTTTGGGAACCTTGGCTAATAGAATTTCTACCATTTTCGCCAAAGGAGCTGCTATAGAGTCTAGAAGGTTGAAAGGGGGAGGTTCACCTTCTGACATTATATCTAAGCTTTGGTTTGATAGATGGACGGACAGACAAACTGAAAAATAAGGATTCCCCCTGGTTTTCAGGTGTTTTTTAATTTTTTTGGTATCTCTCTGTCTAAAATATAGCCATTGTAAATTTTCAAAGGCCCAAATGCTGTTGAAATACTATTGTTGGATACCTCTTGTGACTAACTAATTCATCAATGCACGACACAAAAGTAACAGTATCATGAAGCCAATTTTCCAAAATGAGAAATCTGAATATAGCGTTTTTTGTTGTACCTACTGTTTAAATCTGTACATTAACCTTAATAATGATCCAATGAAATTGAAATCGGTAGCTTAATATCGGGTTAATATAAAAAATGTAAATGACAAAGAAAAGTTATGCAAATTAATCTCTTTATTGCTCGTAGGATTACTTTTGCGCTATTTTATGGTTGGCACGAAATCGATTTTATGCAAACTCTTTTGTTAACTCGAACTCTAGATATGGTTTATCAAAACCAGCATTTGTTCAGAGTTATTTATTAGTATAAGATCGCATGCTATATTATTATGTACGCTAGGGTCATATAGGTACTTGGCCAAAACGATCTGCAACCTGGCAACAGGTCGTTGGGGACGGAAGCAGATATTGGGGATCCGAGAGAAAGATAAAGAATTGCTTGAAAAGAATTGGCATAACTTTTGAGACACGGAAGTTCCAAAGATTATACTGTGATCCATGACTGTGATACAAGTATTGCGTGTTTTAAAACAGCTCTAAATTTTATTGCAACCCGTTTATCTTAATGAATTAAACGTCTTCATTCTTAACCCAATTTTAAAGCATCACGAACTCTCTACTTTTTAAGCAATAATTGTCTCGCCATTAATTAACACATTTCTTCTTTGTGCTGTATGTTCCATAACACCTGTTTCACATAATACTTACATAATAATTAATATTTCCATATTTTTGTAATTCGCATTTTATTAATGCGCATTCTTTTGCTCTAACTCTGTACACGCAGAATACTAAAACTAGGACTGCCTAATCGTGTAATTTGGGATTTTTTTCTAAATTTAACACTAACCCCTAAAGAATAAATGATTATAGACTCGCTCCCTCAGAAAACATTAACGTAATTTTGTGAAAAACTGCTTACGGTCATTATCTGGCTATGTAAGGGTGCGCAATTTAGTGGGTTTCCTAAAGCAAGATGAAAGGTCAGGGCGAATGCTAAATTGTGTTATATTTATGCAAGTCGGCCAGGAATCACCTTAATCACCTTGCGTGTAAGAATTCTCTCGCCCAATAAACGTAACCTTTCTTACTGTTATAACTCTGATAAGGAAAGAACAAAATAGTGCAATGCGCATAACATATAAAAATGTTCTTTGAACGAAAAACGCTAATGTTAGATACAATTCGTAGACACTTATTTCGCTCGTCAAACGTACTGCAACATAATTTAAGCAAAAATCTATCGATTTTACAATTAAAACACTTTCAAGCTAAAGTTATGCAGGTACGAAAAGCTTTGCATCTAATTTGCATATCGTATCCTGGTTTTGGGTTCTCGAAACGTTCGTTCTGATGTCTGCATTACAAATCTATTTCAGAGTTCCATAACAGCGCTAACTGCAGACCCACTTCCAGATAAACAAGTCGATTGCGCCTCTTTCATTGCAGATTTAGGCTTATTTTGGTTTTGGCAAAAGATATTCTTTGAAGTAGCAAACTTTTAGCACGGTTGTCTTCGGACTCTGTTATGACGTTTCGTCCAATAGAGCTGCACGGACCAAAAGTTTGAAAAGCTCGGGCCACAAAGAAAAATTTGTTAGATTTTAGGTTGGAAGACTTTTCGTGCTTCCTCTTCGCTTGA